CGGCTCCTTCGCCGTTCCCCCCGGGCAACCCCGTGAGCCGGATCGAAGAGCAGCTCGGATCGCCGCCGCGGCCTTAACCCTTTGCTCCCTACCGCTCCGTCTCTCGGCGCAGGAGGCCATCATGGACGGGACGGAGATCGCCGTGTCCCCACGCAGCCTCCACAGCGAGCTGATGTGCCCCATCTGCCTGGACATGCTGAAGCACACCATGACCACCAAGGAGTGCCTGCACCGCTTCTGCTCCGACTGTATCGTCACCGCCCTGCGCAGTGGGTAGGAGTAGGGGGGGCCCCACCCCGCCGTGGGACGAGGGTTGCGGGTTCGGCGCCTCCAAAGGGCCACCCTAGTGCCTCTTCCTCCTCCTCCTCCCCTCCTGCAGGAACAAGGAGTGCCCCACCTGCCGGAAGAAGCTGGTCTCCAAGCGCTCCCTGCGCCCTGATCCCAATTTCGACGCCCTCATCTCCAAAATCTACCCCAGCCGCGACGAGTACGAAGCCCACCAGGACAGAGTGTTGGCCAAGCTCAACCGGCTCCACAACCAGCAGGCCCTGCGCAGCAGCATGGAGGAAGGGCTCAAGATGCAGGCCATGAACCGGTAACGGGGTGGCCGGGGACCCCTCCCCTCCTTCTCTGGGCCGCCCTCAGCCTCTTCTGCACCTCCCCCTCCCCAAAATTTGGGGGGTGGGGGAACCTCTCCCCATCAGAAGGAAGCAAAGCGGGGCCTCAATTCCTGGTGCGGTTTTTGCTGCTCGGCCCAGAAATCACTTCTAAAATGTTCTCTTTTTTGGGTGGGTGGGTGGGTGTCGGCCATTATTTAGGAGTTGCTTTCTCGGGTGCGAGGGCCCCCTCCCCCCCCAAACTGCAAGGCCAGCTCCCCTTACGTTTCCCCTCCGAGTGCCTCTAGGAAAGTGGCCTCCGACGTCCTCCAGCCTAGGGGTCGGCAACCGTAAACACTCCCAAGAGCCATTTGGGCCCGTTTCCCGCAGAAAACACCGGGAGCCCAATAATTTAACAACTGGTGTGACTGGGAGGGGTGCGGGGCCAACTCGCAGTCGCTCTCTCCCACCCAGCTACCTCCTGCTCCGGAATACGGAGCGAGACTCCTTCCCTTGCCATCCCCCTTCTCAGGCCGGGCGAGGAGTGACAGGGAGGGGAGCCGACAGGGAGCCACAGCATAGGCCAAAAGAGCCACATGCGGCTCCGGAGCTGCAGGTTGCCAACTTCTGCTCTAGTCTGACCTCCACCGAAGGCAGGAGGCATTCATCCGTCCCGGTCTCTTTCTTGTGGGGAGGAGGAGGGTAATCCCTTGGGCAGAACAAGGGGCGAAAGGGGAGACCCGGCGTTCCTCACAGTGCCCCCCCCCTCGCTCTTTCGGCCTTTGTCCTCCGCCAGGGGGCAGCGGGTCCGGAAGCACCCACAGGAGTCGGACAACACCACCTTCAGCGGGGCGGAGGACAACTGCGACAGCCGGTCCCACCTCAGCAACGCTTCGGCCCCCAGCCAGCCGGAGGCCGGTCCCAGCTGCAAGCGATCGCGGGCCTCGGACGAGTCGTGTGCCGAGCCCGAGACTTCCCACGAGGGCGGGCGGGGCAGCCCCGATCCCGGGACCGAAGCCAGCAGCAGCGAGATCGAGCTGGTTTTCAGGCCTCACCCCATCCTGGTGGAGAAGGGGGGATACTCCCAGACCAGGTGAGCAGGCGAGAGGCTTTTCGGGGGGGGGAGGGGCATTGCATTGGTAGGGAGGCCTGAAGAAGCCCTGTGGACGATGGGGGGCAGTTGACCTACCCCCCCCCCCCCCCCCCCCCCCCACCGGTGCTGGCAGGTACGTCAAGACCACCGCCAACGCCACGGTGGACCACCTGTCCAAATACCTGGCCCTGCGCATCGCCCTGGAGGAGGCCCCTGGCCCGGGCCCCGAAACCGCCCCCCTGGAGGACGTGAGCGAGAAGCAATACACGATCTACATCACCACGGCCGGAGGGGCCTTCACGGTAAGCGGGGAGCGGCCGACCCCCCTGTGAGGTGGGGCGGTGGGGGCAAGGGCCGGAGGGAAGAGGTGGCCAGAAAGTCGGGGTCCCTTGAGGAGGGTGGGTTGGGGAATGCGGGCGCGTCCCTGCAGCTTGACTCGCTCCCTCGAGTTGCGCATTTTCTCCCCCACAGGGAGAGGATTCCTCCTCCTTTCCTCCCCCCCTCCCCGGGGAGGCCGGGTGGGATTTGCGACCCTTCAACTGAGGCCCCTCCCTCCCCGATTTTTCAGACGCTCAACGGCTCGGCGACGCTGGAGCTGGTCAACGAGAAATACTGGAAACTCAGCAGGCCCCTGGAGCTGTACTACGCCCCCACCAAGGACCAGAAATAAGCGGGGTGGGGGGGGCCCCCAGCTTGATGGACAGCAACTGGAGAGGGGGTGGGGGAGGGGCGGTGGGGGAGGGGCATCACCCCCTCCGGCCTTCAAAGGGCCTCTTCAAGACGATGCTTCGCTTGTGGGGGGCTGCTCCGCCCCCCTAAACCTTCCCAAGGCCAATGGGGGAGGATCAGAGAGGCCCACGCGTTCGGGATCCCCCTCCTGGGTAGGCCTGGGGGGGGAGGAGGAGGGGCACCTGCTCTATCCCTCCCCTCCCCTCCAGTGAGTGGGGGGGAGGAGGAGCGATGGGGGGCCGGAAGGGCGAAGTTTTGTTTCTTCTTCCTTTTTTTTTGCAGCTGTTTTTGTGATGACAATATTTGCTCCTTTGAAACGGTATTTGGCCTTCTTCTCTTTTTTTTGGGGGGGGGGGTATGTTCCGGGGGGGGGGGGAGAGGGCAAGCCCCCTGGGGGCTGGAGGGGGGGGGGAGGCTGTCCGGTGGCGTCTTTGTCTAGGGGAGGTTCAGAGGGCCAGGCGGATCCATCTGAGGTTTGACTTTCGTCTTGGCCTGAGATCCTCTTAGCACGGGGGGCCTCAAAATTGGCCCCTTTAAGACTGGTGGACTCCAACTCCCAGAATGCCAAACGT